AGTCACTGAGGCTTTCCAGTGTTGATGTTAATAATATAGCCACATACTCAGAAGTTTTATTTTTCTCATTTTAGTCCCCTGTTCCCTCCTTCTTGCTGATGTCATTTGCACGGGCACAGCATCTCTCACAGGATGGATGCATGAGTCTCTCTTGTCCAGAAGCAGTTCAGCTGTTAAAAACAATCATCCTACATGTGTGTGCAACATCCTACCCTCTTTCAAACTTAAAATCTTTTGTTGTTTACGTTATGTGTACACTTCTCGTTATTTTCCACACGCTCATTGCTTTTTCAGGTTTAATAATGTCCATAAAGTATTCCCAAACACAAACACTGCAGATGACTCCATGGTGCCTTTAACAAATTTACAACTGGAATGACAAATATTAAAACCACTTATCAACCATTACCGCCATCTGTTGGTGGTGAGTAGAGTAGACACTATTCTTCAGAGCCTTGGCCTATAACTGGGAATGTTCAAAAACTGCAAGTTCCCTAGTAGAGAAATGTGTGTCTGTCTGTGCATGTGTGCATGTGTGTGTGCACACAGATGTACACTCACACTGGACAAAGTCTGTAAGGATATGCACCAATATGTAGTAGAATTCATACCCAGGACTTCAGGTGATTTTAATATGTCAACCTACTTTTCTGTGTTTTCTAATTATAATAAGTAAGCACTGCTTTTATAATTAAGGTTAATTAACAAAATGTAGAATTTAGAAGGAACTAAGTATTGGGGGCAGAGGAGAAAATTAAGCTTTATTTACTAAGTGCAAAGTAAAATATATTTAGATTTTATATTCCAGTAGATGAAAGAAGAGCTATAAATGGAAATGGAGAAATGACTAAAGCTGTGGTGCAAACAAAAGAAATTTTGGTAGATTCTAAGCAAAAGATTTTATCAGCCAGGTTCACTCGGACCAATAGGTTTAAATGTGAGTTTTTACTTGTTATCCTCTCCTTTTGAAATTCTAATTATTCTGTAGTCACGTCTCTTAGTCCTCTTTATCCTTTTACTGTCAGAGCTTCCTCTGGAGTGGATTATCTTCTCTTAGCAAAGAATATTATATTCTGAGTAGTCAAGGCTGTGGTCTGAGCCTTGTTACTTTGAAGCCCGATAAAACCCAAAGAATCTTTATATTCACATTTTCCCCATAAAATTCTGTAGTTTGCTTTCCTGGACATGCCTCTCCTTAGTGTTCTTAGAGTGCATTTGCCAGTCAGGTGGCCTGTTTCTCCCAAGACATTGTATGTCCCTTTTACTCGATTTCTTTTTTTTTAAAAAAAACAAGTTAAGGTATAAATAGGAACAAGGAGAGGTGAAAATCTGGTTGCTTCATGAGTTTTTACCCAGATATCTGTTGTTCTCATGGGCACTGATGATTGACAGTACATTTAGACTAAGTGTTAATCACCTGTAATGGTGTCTCCTCCCCTCACATCCACTGCCCCTCATTATACTGCAGGTAAAAGGTAGAGGGAAATGGTGACTGCTCTGAGACCTGCTGCTCCTTTTCTGTTCTCTGAGATGCCATTTGATAGATAGCTCTTTTCCATGTTTTAGAGCCCTTTCTCATGTCATCAAAACTACTTGTTCTGCACTCCATTCCCACAACAGTGACTGCATTACTCACTGAGAAGCTAACTTAGCCAGGGCCTGAGTGATTTAAAGTGTTAACATCTTCCAGTTCAGGGGTCTATATTTTAATGAGAGCCTTTTGTACTGTGAGTTGTTTAACTGAGTGGACAGCCCCCAAAAGCAGATATTTTAGGAGAGGAAAACCTTTCAACAGCCCATGGTAAACACAGGTAAGCATCTTCTTGATCCACTAGATTGCAAGGAAGCTAGTATGCAGTTGTTTCACAGAGTGAAAACTGTTTTCTCACTTTCTAGGAAGTCATGGTCTTTCAGTTTTAACCCACAAATCATGATAAAAACCACGATAGAAAGTAAAACTGATAAATTTCAGTAATATCTCTTTTCCCATACTCCACCCCATCCTGCCCTATTTATCCCTCTTTCAACCATGAACTACATGTTTATTTCTTGTGTTTAAAACAAAGAAAACAACTTGAAAAATAAATCTATTCCACTATCTTAATAGAAGAAGTCTTCCATTTTGTTTCTCTCCTTTCATACTCAATGTGTAAAGGAAATGTTTCTCAAAATTATTTCATAGATAAATTTCAGTGAGAACTTAAACAATTTGTTTTTGAGTTTTGGGGTTTTTAGGCATCATGGAACTGAGTAAATGTAATCCCCTTTCTGGTTTCTTATAAAATGGTCACCTCAGTGGCTGAGGATATTAGTGAAGCTTTCATGGAAAAACAATGTTTGAACAGGTTCTTCAAATTCAATCAAGCATGGGTAGAATGGGGTAATGGAGGGGTGATGTTTAATGTAATGAATGCAGCAGACAGGATTGGAAGGAGCAGAGGCTGTGGGCAAGGAGAACTATGATATATATGCTTTTTGCACAGGTCTAGGCATAATGAAAAGAAGGAATGACTATTAGCAACATGTCAGAGACGAAACTCAGGAGCGTTATTGACTGACTGGGTTCAGGAATGGCTGAGTTGATAATATCTCAAGGACTTCACATCTGGTAAAAGATTGTGAGTGTGGCAGTTCTGTCAAATGAAGAGACATGAAGGGGAGATTGGGAAAGATGTTTTTGGGCTTCTTTGGGGATGAGATGTAGAAAATAGTGGGCATGAAGTGATATTTAAGAATCTTAATAAGATACTAGGATGTATAAGATAAAAAAAGAGGAAACCAAAAAACAAACAAAAAACTAAAACTTTGATGGGATTAAAAATAAAAACAACCCAGGAAGGAGAGAAAAATGGGCATAATCAGAGAAATGGCATTAATTAAAACCATGTCAGTGGATAATTCCCTAGGAATAGGAAGTGTTGAGGACCACATAGTAAACGTGGTGAAAGTACTTAGTTAAGGAGAAGAGGAAGCCAAATGGGTAAAGAACCACTGAAAAAAAGCCCAGAAAGTGGAATGGGATCCTGGGAGCCGGAGCAGAGGCAGAGAGGTACAGGAAGTGAGGAGTAATGTCAAATGCAGTAAAGAGATCAAAGAGAACCCAAACCAGAAGGGAGTGTGGCATGGATCAAGTATCCGTGCTACCAAGGGCCTTTTCTCTTTTCCCACTTCCCACTTTCTCTGTGTCTTTATCTTTCCCATCATTAATGTGGAGAGAGAACCAGTAGGGTAGCAGGCTAGCGCCTGCCCTTCTCTAAATTTCCTTTCTTCTGTTTGGTTTACAAAAGACCCTGAACTCTGCTACCTCAAGCAAAGTCTCTTAATCTCTGTTACTCTCAACCCCCTTATGTTAAATTGGAGTCATACCAACTTTCTTCCCTACTTTTGGAAAGGTATGAGACAAAGATGCAATCCCAGAGCAGTTCAGATAAAACTTCTGCTAATGATAGAGCCCTGATAAATATCAGGCATGTAAATAACCTAGGTAGATAAATGGTTGCTAAAAGGTGGTCTTTGAATCATATTTTTTCTGGTTTGCAGATTTTTTAAATTATTTTTTTGTAAGCTTAGTGACCTGTGTTAATGTTGTTATAAATATTCAGAATCTCTATAGGGATTTAAAGGTGTTTGTGCAACATTATGCCTGTTGGATGTAACTGTCATTTGAACCTTAAATTATCTCTACTTTCATGCCTAGTTAGTAATCATTTGATTACATGATTACACAGTGAAATTTAACTGAGGGAGGCGGGTAGCTCAAGCCATTTGTTTCTTCTTGATAAATATATTTCAGCTTGTTCAATGCATAAAATAGAAACCTATAGTATTTAAAGTGGTTTAAAATGCTTTACAGATACTTCTGTTTCCTAAAACTTTTAAGACGCCTTATAGTCTTCAGAATCATTCATGAGAAACCAATATTAGAGAAAACGTGAACTTTTTAAAGCAAATACATAGGAAAGTAAAATTTTGGAATGTACCCTGTATAGATGAGGAAACGAGTCTCAGATATGTAAATTATGTGTATTTCCCAAAGTCCCAATAATGTTTACACATTATTTTTCAAAGCTTTTTTTCCCCTCCGTTTTAAGAAGACAAACACAAATAGCAGTGCTATACATTGTGGTGGGGTCGCTATGAAAGGGTGTAAAATTAGTACATATGTTTATACTGCCGTTTCATTTTCAGTAGCAGTGTACTAAATTTTAATGCTTTAAGTTTTTCCTCTCCCTCCCCCAGCCCCAACTTCTATTGTACGTTAAGGGATTTGAACACGTTTCTCATACAAGTCCTCATAAATCAATGCCTAATCTCTGGTTCATTGTTTTCTCTTCTTGATTGCCCATTTCTTACACACATGTTAGTGTGTATACTGTATAACTTATCTCTGAGTTAAAAGAAGCATAGTAAAGATGTTTGTAAACAGTTATTCAGATTTTAGGTTTAAAAAGACCTGTTTTAAATATACCATCAAATGTGTTAAACATGTGTACACACACACACACACCTTCTGTGATGCTCTAAAGTCATGCAGTGCTGTCTGCAAAACCAAAATGAATAGAAATAAAGCAGAGAGCTTTCCCCTCATTAGTTTTAAAGGCTGTGTGGATCACAATACTTTAATAATTCTGTAACCTTGCCTTAGGCTTTATATTTGACCACAGATATCATGTTATTAGGGGGGAAAAAAAACCTATTTTTTTATAGAGCTCACATTTCTTTTCTTTTCTTTTCTTTTCTTTTTTTTTTGGTCCCAAGATTGTCAGGTAAGTACCTAATTTCTCAAAGCTACACATCAAACTAATCCAAAGATTCCAATGGCACGCCTAACCATTCCCTTTTTTTAGTTTAGTTTTGAGTTTAGAATTCTCATTTCCTGTACTCTACTAAAGAACGTTTTGTGCTTTAAAGTTCGCAGATGTTTGAAAAGTATTTGTGTTCTCTGGACTTATTAATAAAGGTTCCTTGATTATAACTTTTTTTTTTTTTTTGTCTTTTAGATACGGGAAAATAGTCTCCACAAAGGCAATTTTGGATAAGACAACGAACAAATGCAAAGGTATGTTTCCTTGGCTAACAATTTGCTAAATTGTAGCTTTAGAAAAATGCTGGAATTTTAAACATGATCTCTGGTTTCAAAACTACCTCTATTTTATTAAAAGCCAAATCTTATGTGTCACCCAGTTTCTGTCTTGCATAATGTCAGCATATTGCTTACGTTCGTCCCTGGTCGAGTTTTGGCTGGAAACCCAACAGCAGTTAGCAGTTTGCCAGAATCCCAGATTTGACGCCAGTGGAGTTAACATGCAAAATACTGGTTGGCATTTAGCCCCTGCTCTTAAAAGGGGAGTAGAGTTAGAAAACAGCTTTTCTTTCGTGAGCCTGAGGAGATTAGAGCTGCTTACTGAAGACCACTGGACTGTACTAAAGAACTGAAAAGATTACATATTGTGCAAATTGGCTCTATTAATTAGAATAGAGTAGTTTTAAGCAGTACTTAATTACATGTTTCAATACTCCCAATTGTTCTCTCCTGAATGCCTGTTGACAATATTGGCAGCAGGGAGGAAAGAACCATTTTCACTGACCAAATTGTATAGGGAGGGGAGGTCATACGCCCCTTTGAAAATATGCTGCTGCATTAATTTGATGCACTGACCTTCAGTTTTCCGTGTAATTAGGATGAGCTCATCCAACTCCATGAGCTGGAAGAGGAGGCGTCTACAGTAGGCAGCACTGATGCTCCCCGCCTCTGACTTTTAATGATCCAGCATCTAAACAATAGGCATGTGATTTCTAGGAAAGGGGAAGAATGGAGTCAGCTGACTTTGAGTCTAACTACTGACCCCATGAATTGAAATAAGGTTGACAGGAATAGGCAGAGAAGGCAAATCTCCTTGTTAATTAGACCCCAGTTTTTCAAGTAGTGGTGACGGCTGTGGCTTAGCACAATCTGAAAAAGGCAAGAACGTAAATGAACTCTGTAGTAGGGCTTCACCTAGGAGCCAGCCATTTCCTTTTAATCTAGACTTGAAGAGGTTCATTGTATTTCTGTCTCTTCTTCTAAGCTCCTAAATTTAAAGGAGCTATTGTCGCAAATGTTTAAGCCCATGTTTAATCAACATGGCCTATTAAGGCAGTTTTGCCTTGGGACAGTGAATTAGAGCTGCTTTGTGTAGAGTGGTACTCAATAAAAATTTTAAACAAATTAAAGAGAGTTAATTTGTAGACTGAAATGTTTACACTTAGTTGCCAAGATTAGTCTTATTTAACATAATTGTAAATGATTTGGGAGAACAGGGACGCAGAAAAAAATCTTTTGGTTTTATAAAGAAAAATGGACTTTTGCAGGTAAAACAGGAAGCTGATCTCAAAAATTAGTTTCAACCCAAGAGAAAAATCACAGTAGACAAGTGGTTCTGTAGCCTTTGATGGCCTTACCCCACCTTTCCGCCTCTCCTGGGGGAAAAAAAAAAGCTTATAAGGCAGATAAATGTGTTCTAAAGCAGAGCTGCCCTCCGTGAGTGAGGGAGAGGACCCAGAGGTCCCCCTGGTTGAAGTCACCACACCCCCACACTGAAAACTACTGTTGTACACTCTTCTCCAGTGAGAACCTGGTCTCTGGAAACCAGAATGCCCCTAGTGCTCGACATGATCTAGAAAAGGTATGAGTAAAAAAAAAAAAAAATACTAATGTTCAACCTAATACATATCGTAATACAAACCCATAACAGTTGGAAAGAATCTGAAAGTAAGGGGAGAGATTTGTGAGACTTTGAAATAAGGGTGGGAATAATTCAGAACTAATTTTCAATACAACATGTATTAAAACTTACCCTCGGAGATGCTGCCTTGTGCCTGTGGGCAATGACAGAAACCAGGCAGGGCTCTTTGTCTCACACAGGCCTCTCATGAACAAATGGGGACAGGTTTCTGGTGGATAGGTAGGTGAGTGAGGAGAGAGAATAATTACAGCAGGGCTGAGTTTATAAAATCCTAGAAGCGAGAATGAGAGCTCCTCAGAAGGACAAAGGAAAAGAAATAACACAACATGTAGCTCATAATGAAGACAGTTGACATGTTAGATAACTTAAGATGGTAGGTAGATGGATGGATGGATGAATATAGATAATGCGTAAGAAATTATTGCGCATTATTATAAATGAAGACAGCTTGTATTGAATACTAATTTTTTAAGATTGAACGGATCAAAGAATTTTATACCTGGAAATTAGAGACCTTAGAGGGCACAGATCATTTTTGTCACAAAACATATTTTGGAGCCTCTATCCAAGAGAAAACATTAAGCCGAAATAAACGTTTCTCTGAATAACATGTACCTCAGTCATTAAATTTAAAAATTAAAAATTCATGATTAAGTTGCTCTACATTTCAGTTGTTGTCAGTTTTTAGCCAACAAGCGGTATTTAATTGTTTTTGACATTGGTACAGTAGTTGCCCCTTATTCATAGAGTTATTTTTCAAGACCCTTAGTGGATGCCTGAAACTGATAGTACTGAACCCTATACGTACTATAATGTTCCTGTACACACATACCTCTGATAAAGTTTAATTTATAAATTAGGCACAGTAAAAGAGTAAAAATAACTAATACTAATATAGAACATTTATAACAATATACTGTAATAAAAGTTATGTGAATGTGGTCTTCCTGTCTCTCTCATAACCAGTCTAATAACTGAGACAGTTACTCTATGTGACAGGCAGGTGTACACAGCATGTATACACTGGACAAAGGGATGATTCACGTCCAAGCAGGATGGAGCAGGACAGTGTGAGATTTCTTCACGCTACTCAGAACAACTCTCCATTTAAAACTTATGAATTTTTTCTTTCTTGAATTTTACATTTAGTGTTTTTGGATCACGGTCGACTGTGGGTAATGGAAACTGAGGAAAGCAAAATTGTGGATAAGAGGGGACTACTGTATGTATATGTGGCAGTTCCAGACCCCCCAAAAAGCTTACAAAGGATTGATTGTGATGCTGATTGATTATTAATTCTTACAGAGTGCATATCACACCAGAACACATATGCACACACCAATAAAAGTAGACGAAAATAAATCAGACCAAAGGGAAAATAGAGTAAATACAGGAAACTTAAGATTATTGCAGAAATGGTCCTGTGTTTCCTAGTGGCCCAAGCCAAAAATAGAAAACAGAGCTATTCCCACCTGAGAAGAATCCTGGGGATCCAGAGAGAGGGCGCTGTGCTGTTTAATGAGTCCCGCCTTCAAAAATATCTATATGCATATTGATATAATGCAACCCATAGAACCTATGTAAGTCAAATTTATATATTATGTTTACTCGATAGTAATATAGTAGAGAAAATAAAAGAGCACAAGGTTGCATGCTTACCTATTACATATTTGTTTTCAGCAGATATTTATGAAACAGTTGGAATCTGGGTAGAAAAGGCCAAAAGAAGATGCGAACAGTTAACCAAAATGCAACCATTATGGATTTTTCTTAATGAGAAAGTAATAGATAAACAATGCTAATAGTGCCTGAGAGGATAACTTCAACTACAATAGCATCAACATTGAGATCTGTTTATTGTAATTTATTGACAACAGCAAAATGGGGAGAGGGTGCTTAAATATCCATCAGCAGGGGTTATATCATTTTAGTGTAGTAGACTGTTCATTTATAACCTGCTAAAATTGTGTTTGGTAATAAAATGTGTATGAGTGAGAGAGAGTGTGTGCGCTTGTGTGTGTCTCCATACGAGGGTTGCACTAACAGCAGATTTCTTAAAAAACACCCAAAAATATATTTAACCTAATTTCAAACTGGGCAGTTAAATAACATTTTCATCTTTTACCTGGGTTGGCCTCTCTTTTTCTTTCCAACCTGGCTATTTCTCCACTGTCTAAATCAAATTAAGCCTTATTTCAGTCCAATTTCAAGTAATAGAAGGAAGCTGCTTCTTGTTTCAGCTTTAACGTTCATCTCTCCTAAAACATTTATTTCTGTAATAGTCTACTCCATTTCATTACAACTTATTTTGTTACCAGGCGATATTTTTGATACTAATACTGCAAACTTACTTGTGGACTGTTTCAAGCTTTCTATTTGGTCTGTTTTGACATGAGTACCTTACACTCTCAATTACACTATCTTTATAATATTTATAATAAATGATGGGGCTAGCCCTTCTTCTATGCAGCCTCCAAACTATGCTTTTCTTTTCTGAAATATTCTTATTCATTTAAAGTTAATTTAATAATAGGTTTGAGTTCCAAGAAAATCTCTGTTGGTATTTTTGCCTGATACTCTGATCTTTTAAACAGTGTGCTAAATATAATTTAACCTTTTCTTAAGAACTTAAGAGTTATCACAGTGAAAAAAATCACTGATCGACTATTTTAATACAATGATGCTCATGGGATCAGTTGATTCAGGGGCTGTTGCTCATATGCTGCATATGCCCTGTTCTTTGTATAATTTTACTTTTTTATTGCTTGTTATTAGTTTTCACTGCTAGATACCACCCATATGCTTATTTTGTAGCAGCCCTACCCTCAACCCGACCCCTTTTTTACCCCTAATTTCCTGCTTTTGATTTGCTGTGGCCAAGGAAAATAGCTGACCAGCTTGTTAAAACTGTTTGCAAAGCTGTGGATAAATAAGCTTTGAACCAGGGCCTTTTCTAGGAGGTTATTTGATTATTTGTTTGTTTTGTTATATTTTGTTTTTAGACTTTAGGACATGAACCACGGAAACAGCTATTTTGGGTATCTGGAGACATTTTTCCCCCCTTTATTTTGAAGGGAGATCATGATGAGCTGTATTTTAGGTAAATAAGTAATGATATTTTCACCTAGTAAAATTTAGATTATATTTTGGGTATCTAATGGTCGTACGTAATTTATTTGTAAAATGAAGTTTAGGTCTACAAAATAAATGTAATTTTTGTTTCTGTCCTTTGTAAGCTCTATAGAGTGGCTCCATCTCTCTTTCCAAATCATTAAAAATGCTCTTTCTCTGACATCGATTTTTCTTTTTTAACCTTAGTTGGTAACTTAGATGTCATTTTTTTCAGTAAGTACAGGATACCTGAGACCTGGAAAAGAGAAAAGCTGGGGCTTTTGAGGGGGCGGGGGCGAGGGCGGTTGTTTGTTTGTCTGTTTTGTTTTTACTTTGAAGGGTAACTTTTCTAGCCCATGACAGACAACAGGAAAGGACAGCCTGAGGAATGTGCTGCATTGTGGCTGTTAAAGCTTGAGACCTGTCAGTCATCAGGGTTTTCATTTTTTGTGGCCTGCGTCACAAACCAAACGGAGTCATCCTTTTCCTCTTTACATAATCATAAAATAATGGCTTAAAAACTAAGTGTGTTTGGCATTTCAGGTTATGGTTTCGTCGACTTTGACAGTCCTGCAGCCGCTCAGAAAGCTGTGTCTGCCCTGAAGGCTAGTGGGGTTCAAGCTCAGATGGCAAAGGTGAGTTGAGAGCCAGTGACCATCTCTTGTCCCAGGCCTTGGCTCTGAAGCCTGATACATTGCTTTTCCTATCACTATTCACACTCCTCCCCTCCATCCCAGCTAGCCACGGTTATTTCTGGACACTTGTCCCATGCCTCCACCTCAATCGTAATTCTAAAGCAGTGTAAGCTGTAGTTGTCATTTTAAATCTCTATAGAAGTTAGACATTTTTAGACATTGGTTATTTATGAGATGTAAATCTCCTCTTTTGTAGTTCTACAGTAGCTTTATTCAAGACTTGTTTCTGATGAACTTTTAGCATTTTAGATGATGGATGTTTTTGAAGTGATATATATGCCCTAGTCTTTATTGCCTAAATGTAAACTTGGATTATATCATACTTAGTGCCTATAGTGCACTTACTAAGACATTTATATAATTAAGTACATTTTTTTTCCATTCGTGGTTCTGGAATTGCTGTGGAAAATACTTTCAGGCTGAAACTCAGCAGTTAGATATTTTATGTATTCTTTTCAAAAGATAAATAATTTTATTTGGCTTCTTCAAGTACAGAGGAAAGGAATTTTGTGCTATCCTCTGCTACTTCTGAATAATAGCATGTGATCATTCCCTGAGGGTCATTCAGATTTCCATAAGGAAAGATTTATGGAAATTCAGTGACTCTGGTAAAGACATAAGTTACCTGCTAAGAACTTAAGGATACTGAAGGACATATTATGCAGCTACCAGGATAGAGATTTACTTTGACTTTAAAGAAGCAACGTGAATAAAGATTTTAGGAATTTATGAAAGGTATCACCTGTCTAAAGTAGTCCTTGACGTGTAATATTTTTAAAGCTTTGAATTGAGTTGGACTTTATTTAGATTTTCTCGAACTCCAGAGTAGTTAAACAGAAACTATAAATAGTAAGCACCATGATTTTCAGATTATTTGTCTATAATATAGAGCAATTCCCTGCAACATTGTTGAAAGATGCTGATTATGAGACTTTAAATTATTTAATTGTGAATATGCAATGCTTGTGTTGTATAGTGATTTATAAACTGTTTAATCTGCCTCTAAGGAATGGGTAACCATCCATTTTATAAGTAGGACTTTAAAGGCACAATCAGAAAATAGCTCTATTTTTCCCGCTATTCTGTCCATTTTAACTCACAATGTGACGCTCCTGCTTTCTCTTCTGGTGAATAAAATTCACGGCAGGTCCCGTGACTTTTCCGACCACTGTCATTATTTTAAAAGTTCCTTCAGTTGCTTCTCTCATTTCAGGTCTTTCTGATTAATTTTTGACAGAATGCCTCTTGATTTTTCATATACAAATTTCATGGAACATAATTATCTTTTCAGTTGTCTCTATATGTATTTAAACCAACTCAATACAATATTTTAAACAAGATGTTGTTTAGGAAATGCTCAAGTTGCATTCCGAATGTAGTTTGTAAAATCATGTGTAGAGGTTTTGAAACACTGCTGAGAGTCAGCTAAAGGGATGTCTTGGATGTTGCTAGTTCTAAAAGGAATCACGGTTTACAAAGCAGTTGTCTACTAACAATGACATTGATTGGTAATCAGGAAGTAATGTCTTAAAAGTTTACATCTCAACATAACCATTTATTGCCTGTGTGTACACACACACACACACACACACACACACACACACACACACAATGTAGTTATATTTTAGGAAATTGTAGGAAAATATATAGTTACATTTTAAGAAGATTGAGGTTGCAATTAATGTTCAACATAATTTTTTCCTATTTGAAATAATGGGAAATGGGCTTCTAGTTAACATTTTGATGTTGAATGTCTGATTTTCAAGAACATATCACTGATGTTAAATGTGCGACACATAATTTAAATGTCCTCTTTATTTCACAAAATTTTGAGAATCGTATAATGGTAAAGCTTCTCCCTTCCTCCAGCTAAGGTCTGCTCCAGGTAGTAAGCCTAAAGTGGAATGGGAATATGGTTAGTTCTTTCCTATTTCCCAGAGTTGTGTTTTTTCCCACTCTTCCATCAGCTCCCTGGATGTGTTTTAATATACAGCAATGTGAAATTTCAAAACCTTATAGTATCCTGATTAATTTATTAGAAGAACGTGGATGGTAGTGGGTCCCTTATCCCCTCTAGGGTTGGAGCAGAGGTAAAGGATGGGAAAGCTTCTTGACCTGACAATGATGTAATCTGGTGTTGATTTCTCTGACCAGACAGATTCATTTCACCCTCGTGGAATGCTTTGGGAGTTTTTCAGAGATCTCACCACCACCACTACCACCCCAATTGATCTTTTCCTTGTGGTCTCTTGAAGCTAGGGAATACATGTTATCAGACTGATAGCCTCGGCTCCTGATAATTTTAAGAGTCTTTCTTCAGCCCCTTTCGGCTGGGACCTCCTTGCCCTTCAAGACATGCTCTTGGGAGGATCCAACACAACCCTGGGCCAGCTGTACTTTGTGTGCCCACGTCTGACCTCTGTTTTTGCCAGCTCTCTGTAAGAGAGTAGTTACGTTCCAACCACACTTAGCAGGGCCCCTCAGTCAGCTTCTTGCCTTTTAGATTCCTCAGGTTTCAGTCAGACATTGATCCATTTTACCCACCAGGCTCCATAAGACACAGATCAAGTTTCATGAGTAGTCTGTTGAAGCCCCTCTTGCTTGACTGGGTGTTATTAGGGACATTGCCCTCATGATGAGACTCAGAACATATCTGTGTTTCTCTCCATAGCCATATTCATTTTCAGCCTCTCCAGTCTCTCAGAGACAGACATGAGGTTGGATGGTCAGCCAAGCTTTCCAAACCAGTTCTCAGCCAGCTCCTATGCAGACTCTCTTTAGGTGGTCTGGTTTCTCACTCTGAATATGGGAGTGCTTGACACCCATTATTTTGTGTCTTCTGCTGAAACACAGTAAGAGGCCTATTTTATCAACCTCCTGCAAATTCAGAGGCCTTTTTTAGAGTGGCTCCATGAGCACATACCTAGGCATCTTTTCAACGCCTGTGCTATTTAACAGCATTGTATATTAAACATATGCTCTTTTGAAAAAGTATTTATAATGCATTTAGTCAAAACTGGACTGGATATAGATTGGTAGTCATATATGTCATGTCAACAGTGCATTTTGAGTGCCAGCTTTCCCATGAGTTGATAATGAGCACTGTTCAAAGACCTCCTCAGGAGGCTTGATACTGTAAATTGGCTAGGAAAAATGATCCTTCCCTACAGCATCTGTAGGGAAGGAACAGTACACAAGTTCAGAGACACTGGCAGTGGGCCAACATTCTGCACCTTATGAATTTCTTCAGGTCTCTGTAGAGTGACTAAATTTCCTAGACCTAATTTCTCTTGTATTATATCATTAAAGTTACTAAGATACTTTAAATGCTAGAGGGTCCATTGTTCTCTACCACAGAACCATAGGTTTGATTATCTGGAGTTAACTTAGCCCCTTTATGCTATTTCGGTAAAGAACATCTGACACACACTTTTTGTGGAGCACTTTTTAAAAGAAGTTTAGATTTGGCTAAACTTCACTCCCATGGTTGAGTGATAAGGGACCTGCCTCCATCCACTTTCCTCTAGTGAATTTATCATGATACTACTATAAGGTGTTTAAAATTTACATTGCCATAAATTAAAGGCTTGCTTTCTTATGTAATCAGAAAAGAATTAAAGGCATTCCACTAGGGGAGTCTGGGGGCAAGGGGGATTATATTGTTTGACACATTGTCTACCTGGGTTGACAAAGGATTCTGCACATATTCAAAACTGAATTGCAAAACTACCAATTAAGAGCACTGGACAAACAGTGATTGTTTCTTATTTATGGTTTAATTTTCATTGCCTTGCTTTGTACTTGGATGTGGTAGATATTAAATATTTGTTATGTTAATGATCAAAGAATCCAGTTAAGTGAGAGAAAAATTTCCTTCCCAGAATGGCAGATATTGAGAATTAAGAATGGAACATATAAAAATTATATTCATTGAGCTCTATCCATTAAGTACCTGATGAAACTTATCGAAAGGTTTTCTGCAAATTCTCAAGGCCATAACTGTTTGTGTTACACTTGGCATTTGTTTCAATTTTGTACATTTTTAAAATAAAAGGTTCAGAATCTATGAGAAGAAAAGTTCAGATTATGAGCTAAAATGACATAAAACTCAAATTAACATTGGTGGTATTTGTTAATAGAGCGACTTGTGTACCACTTTCAGCAGTGCCTCTTAAGGCCTGCCGGGGGTCAGCAGATCATCGTGTGCTATTTGACTGGTAGTAAACTTGCACATTTTTTCAGTAAATCGGCAGTCAGATGAGCAGGAATTGAATCCCTCTTCCACACAGAGCTCTACCGTGCTTCAGGCAGTTTGTATTCCCAAGCCCATAGCAGCCGTGTGCTGGTTGGTGAACCTATTCAGTACAAGAGAAAACAGATGTCTGGTCTTCCTGCCAAGTCCCTTTCTTGCGTTTTAGGAACCATTCCACACGCACAGGGAGGTTTTTGTTAATTTCTTTCAGATGATGACTGAGTGCTTTACGCCATGCGGGGCCTGCAAACCCCACTTTGCTACTCAAGTGAACATTAGTAGCCATTTATTCCTCTCACGGCCAATGTGGGATCTAGTTTTCTACTTGTTAGAGAAGCCATTGAACCCTTTCCATGCCTAGGGATTTAAAGAGGCCTAGTGGCCCCATTTTTATGTTTGGCCACCCATAATTCACAGAATAATTGTTTTTTTTCAGACATAGCATTGTATGTAATAAAACAGTTATGGTTGTCACTGATTTTAAGGAAACTAAATTATCCTCATTCAAAAACCACCCTCTACTTACTACAAGTGTTATATATTTTGTTCACTGACTGGATGGATACATGCATGGACTCTTTGAGGAACAGATATTTCTGTGGCCAGTGCTGCCAGCTTGGAGTTTTTTCTTTTTTCTTTCTTTTTTTTTCCTTCAATTATTGCAACTGTGTAGTCAGTGTTTGCAGAATAAGTTGAAAAAAATAATAAATGACATTAATTCTCAGGTTCACCCCAATGAAACCTAATTGAGTTGTTCCTATTGAAAACAAATGCATTGAAATCATAGAAAACATTGACTCATATTTAGCCTATAGTGATATTTATCAGAGAATGAGTTGAGAGCTCAGTTTCTTTTTGGGTTCTTATTTTAGCACTTATTTTTTTCTTCATTGGTAAACTCTAGTAATCAAGACTTTAAAAAATATTTTTTATTAGTATTTTAATAATAGAAGCAGCTAAAACAGATTTAGAAAGTAGTATCTACATAGTCAACTCTTTTAAAAAATATCTCATATATGACATTCTCCTATGAAATTCCTAAATATTAGCTGTTTACATTTTTTTAATTGTACTGAAAAAAAAAAGCCCACAATATTTATGATATGCTTCTTATGTAACATTTTTTATGCCATATCTTTACCCAAGAAGTGTTTTAATGCTCTTTAATTAAAGGGTTCTCAGCTTATTCTGAATCTGACTAAGCACGATTTCAGGAATCTTTCTAATTAGATTTAATCATATCGCTCCTCTACATTGTGCCTCCAAAAGCTCCCCATTTTTCAGGGTGTGGCTTTCTAACTGCAGCACGTGGGCGGCAGTTCCTTCTTCCTCTTGCTCCCAGCTCACCCGTCAGGCTACGTGAAATCACAGGATAAACGTGGCTTACGTCCCTGGTGTATCAGTATTACTTGAAAATATTAGGTCAGAAATAGTGTTTCTATATTAAAACAAACTTGAATAGTTAGGGAGTGGATTGTAAAATTTACATCGCCTCACCCCCATCTTTTTTAGATAAAGCACAGGCTTCAAGGAAATTTTGCAGCTCTGGCAAAGCTACTTTGGCCTTTGCCTACAGACTCTTCAGGATACATAATCATTCTCCCTGCTGTTAGCACTGCTTAGCTGGAAAAGTTTAAGTAGCAATGACTTGACTGACAAAATGAAATCAACCCCCTTAGGTAGCCTTTCACAATCTGGTTTCAGCCTTGTGACTTCTGCTTGTTTCTCAAGTTTCAACTCAATGTCATACCCTCTGAAAAGTCTTTCCCAATCCTCTAAGACAAGTTCCCCTCTCTGCTTCCACTGTCATTTGTACACATCTTTGTATCATAGCACTCATTTCATGTTTTTTTTTTAATCTCCTCTATATAACTGTCAGCTGCCGGAAGACAGGACTGGAGTTATAGTTTATAATGAGAGTCTGGGATGTGTGAGATACACAGGGTCCCTCAGTACCCACCTTCAAACAGAAGGGACCCCATCAGTGTTGACCAGTTAAGGACCAGACTTCCACAGAAACAAATGCAGTCTTTTGCACTCCAGGAAAATTTCGGGACTTGGGAGGTTAGAGCCAACATGAAATGGCTAAGTGAGAAGCTTTGTGATTAAGTGGGTAAGGTAGGTGGAGGTAGTGAATGAAGTGGAAACAAGATTTTACCTCACATTTCACTTTAGAAGAATTTGAAAACTTTAATACCTAAGACCATTTTGCTTCACCCTGTATTTTGAAATATCTTATTTTTTATTGTCACACACTTGTTAAACAGATCACTTTTCAATATCCGTACATTAAAGATATACTGTATGTAATTGTCAGTAGAAGGTTTGCTCAGCATAAGATAATCAGTGGTGCCACACTGAATTTATCTAATTTCAACTAAGAAAACAAAAATAGTTGCCATTTTATTTAATATGTGAAGAGTTAGTGAGGGTAACTACTCAGCTTGCTATTGAGAATTTGAAAAATTTTAATTATTTTCTTGGACCCACCCCACCCATGCTGACATACCCCTGAGAGCTGGGGAGCACCCAGGCTGGAAGCCTCTGCCCTAGACCTTTGGAACTGGCCTGGTGGTTCCATGCTGCCGCCTTCTGTCAGAACCAGAAGTCACAGGGACCGTACTTCCTGCCCATAGTTTCTCAATGTGCATTTTTACTTGCAGATTATATAAAAAGAAAACTTTCACTTCAGGTTTAATTAGTTCTAGGATACATTGGAAAGTAGAGACTTCGTATAAATTCAAACATGCATATGCTTTTACATACACTATTAAAGTACTGTGTATGTTGGAAATCTATAGTATAATGAGTGTGCTATTCTGTTGCCTAAAGCTAAAACATAATTAATGACTTTACTAATAGTGCTTATTAAAGAAGAATCATAAGCTTGCATAGTTCCATTTGTAAAGATACAATTGGTTAGTAAGATCAAAGGAAACCCTGGTTTAAAATTCATAAAGCTCTTCTAATCTCACAACTGGAGAGGTGAATTTTGACTTGGTCAGAAAATATTCCAGTAGTTAAGCTTTTCCTTGACGATTTGAACACCATATTCTTAGTAAATATACATAACAGTTACTAGGTCACAGAAAATTCTGTTGTATATCTTTGGTTTCCTACTCATCTTTCCTTTGCTGAGGTAGCTGATTCTACCTCAGCAAAGGAAAGATGAGTAGGGAATGATCTAATTATTGCTTCTTGAACTTTGATATGCAAATGAAGCACCTGGAAATCTCATTAAAATGCAGCTTCTGATTCTGTAGGTCTGGGATGGGGCCTGAGAGTCTGCATTTCTTATATGCTCACAAGTAATTTCATCACTGCTGGCCCCTGGATCACTCTTTGAGTCACAAGGATTTAGCAGAGCCTCCCCCTCCCCCATCTACTCTAGACTTTAGTTTTACCCAGATTCTAAAATTTGGTCTGCCTAGAGTTCATCATTTTGTGTGGCTTTGAGTTTTCTTGTTTTTGTTAACGTAGGAGCTTTCTTTTTGTCCAGCGGTGATCACAACTCAGAAGTAGTAAGAACTCTGCCATAGAGCAGAGGATGGGATTTGGGGCAGAGCCGCACTGGGCATTAAATGACTTGGTCCAGAATCCCACGTGTGTCTCCGGATTGAATTATTAGCAGAAATAGCTTTGTGTGCAATAGTGTGCCTAAAATGGACTCCTAAAAATAGTAGAAGAGGGGTTGTTTATTTTGGGGAACACAGTGCACACAGCTGAGAGTCGCACGTGGTTCCTTGAGGGCATCTTCTCCTACTTGGCGGTGCCTGCCAGCACTTCCACTTCCAGATCTTCTGAGTATGGCTTGGTGGGACCATGTCTGACCTGCACAGGCTGCCCAAGCTTCAGACCCTATTTTCAAGAGGCCAAGGTGACTTGGGTGTTCTGTGGTCACCATGATCTTATTAGGTAGTACTTTTAGGGACCTGAGCAAAGAGAGTGGCCAAATAAGGTTGGCATGTTAACATAAATATCTCATCTTCTATTGGAAATTCATGGACAATTCTATGTTCTGTTTCAGCAACAGGAACAAGATCCTACCAACCTGTATATTTCTAATTTGCCACTGTCCATGGATGAGCAAGAACTTGAAAATATGCTGAAACCATTTGGACAAGTTATTTCCACAAGGATACTACGTGATTCCAGTGGTACAAGTCGTGGTGTTGGCTTTGCTAGGTAAAGCACACTGCCCTGTATTAATAACAATGGCCCTGCTGAGTTTCCTGGAAAATAAATATTGAGCAAGAAGAGAAAATTTAAGACAGGATTATAGGAGCCAGTTGTACCACAAATTTAAATTGTGTAAATACTGGTTTGCATTTTTCCAAATCTTTAGGAAGTTAATTAGAATTCTTGAACCTAAGGACGCTAACAGTAGTGACTCAGGTCAGGGAAATACTACATGAGCGATAGTGCTGAAAGTTTGCGTCCTTAATATTTTTATTAATTAGATCAAGATCCCTTTAACTTCTTAAAAATAATGATATCAGGCTCCTTAATTTCATACATAAATCAGTATGGTTTTTCTTATTAGATAGAAATTTAACTCATAAGTTCAGTGAATTAAATTTTTAGATGAAATATCTCAAACTTTCAGAAAAGTAAGACAGTGATATTACACCTAACCATCAATTTTTATACCACCGTAACATTTTACAGTTTTGCTTTAGATTGTTTTTTTAAAGTAACATATTACAGATATATCTGAAGTGCCATTATTCCATCATTCCTTTCATCTTACTCTCGTTCGTTCCTCCTTAGAAAGGGTACTTCAGTGTAGTGGTTAATTTGGTTTCTAAAGAAAAAGTCCTAAACAGAACGAACATTGATTTGTGATATAGTTCTAATCCATGTACAAAAACGGATCTTGCAGAAACTCATTAAATGATCCATTCTTTAGGAATCTATTAATACTGTGCAGTAACAGATAATGTTTATGTGTTTTAAAGTACTGACTTTGATTTTGGGGGAAAAATCACAGACATTTTAGACATTATCCTATTTGATATCAGTCACATGTACTACCACAGACTTGTGAAAGATAACAAAGCAAACATTGTTCACTCTTTTACATATAAGAAAATTGAGGCAAAGAAGGGGCTCTTTCATCGTCACTGAGCTGCCACATAATGAAGCAGGGTCTTCTGGCTTTTACTCCATTACTCATTCTGTTAAGCCAGATGATTTTATGATAAAACTAAAATATCCTATAGTTGGAAAGTCACCAAGGCTAGCATCTCCAGCATGCACTTGATTGGTTAAAAAGATCCAAGTAAAACAGTGAAAAACTCAGTGCCGTCTAAAAATTGTCCCGCTGTAGGAGTTTTTCTGAAAGCAGATCAGGTAATTTTATTTCTATGTCCAAAGATGGAACCCAATTAAATTCTACTGCTTTTTAAAACTATTAATACCCATTAAAACCAACGTGTTACTCTGATAGTCCAGGAGTGTAGCACATTTTGAGTAGATTAGTCAATGTTTCTTCCATTAAAAAAAAAATGATTCAAAAAAATTTAATTCTCCTGAAATGTTTCTCAAATGTTTTTAGCCACTTGCAGATGATGTAGAACAAGTTGTGTACAGTTAGGCTCCATCTTTTAATTACGCCTCCAAAGCCAAGATAATAAGGAAGGTACATGATTGACTTAATAAATTTAATTTTAAACTTGAAGCAAATGTAAAAAAAATAAGGGTACATCCTCAGATTGATAGTAGTTCTTATCATGACTTTTGAGTCTTTACTGTAAAAACCCATCTTTAAAATGACCAATATTCTAGCAAACAGTAAATACACTAGTATTTTAAACTATTATTTTTTGTGTTTAATGCAGTATGTTAACTATCAAAGCTATTGTGTATTACGGTTTTCCAACAAGCAAAAATTACACATTTGATATACTTGGTATCAAACACTCTAGGTATAATTTATTTGTCTTATGATTCAGAATGCACTCTCTGGTTAATAGTTATCATTTTACTATAGAAGTATATAAGTAAAAATTAGATAAAAAGAATTAACCCACTTTTTTTCTTCACATTTTTGCTAGGTTTTATTTGTATTCAATAAACCTGTAAGAATGTATTCACATGCACAAAACAAAATGAAAACTAAGTGATCTCTAACTTTTCGTGTGTTTTATTTTTATATAAATATAGGATGGAATCAACAGAAAAGTGTGAAGCCGTTATTGGTCATTTTAACGGGAAATTCATTAAGACACCACCCGGAGTTTCTGGTATGTTGTTTGTCTAAAATTTTATCAGTAGTATTTTTCATGTAATATGTGTATAGTTTCGGCACATGATGACTCATATCAAAGAACCAACAAACCCTCACATAGCTCTTCAACATTTATTTCTTTGGATCTACAAATAGGCCTTAAAAATTCACCTCTCTCCAGACATTGGGTATTTAAATATGAATTGAAGTTGATCCAGTGGAAAGGATCTGACTTGTAAAGCAATAAGAAGCCTCTCTTTCTTTGATGCATAAGCTATCCTTTAATTCACCTTATCACCATCCTCAATAAATCTGTCATTCGGTCACATCATAGAAGACTGGTACTTTCCACTCCAGTTCCTGCCTTTGTTCTGGAAGATTTCAACCTGTGTTACCCTTCCCGCCTTACAGTACCTGGACCTCAACATCTGTGGCCTTCCTTCCATCCACTTGAGCCACTTTCTCTCATTCCTCTGCCTTGTATTGTCCTGACCAAGATCACCACACCTCAGTAGCTTTTCATTCCAACATCACACGCTGATTCCCTCTAAACCTGATCTGAAACATGAAGCATCCTTCCGTTTTCACTCTTTATTGGTCCCTCTTTACCTCTTTTCCATCCATACCAACTGGTCTCTGTTTTTGAGCACTAAAACTAATTCTTTGTCAGCATCCTCAGTTTTCTTGTATTCTATCCCTTGGTCACTCCAGCTTGGCAGAACACTGCACTTGGATTAATCCTACAGCAACCCACCTTTACTGCTCCTTTTATATCCAGGCAGGGAGGGAAAGGCTGTCTCCAGCTTGACCAGACCCTCAACTTCACTGGTCCTCACTCAGCTTCCTCACCCTTCCCTAGCAGTGATTCTCAAGTTTCACCATCCCACTCAGTTTTCTCACTACCCCACCCCCAACTCTAAGCAGATGACTTTACTTCCTACTTGATGAATAAAATTGAGATCACCAAATGCAAACCGCTTTGTCAGCTTCCTGCTTCCTCCTAGCAAGGAGACCTACACCACACCCATTCTTGCTCCCCCTCCAACACTAAAGTCTCAAGGCCTAGGGATTCAAAGCTGTACTCTTGATCCTATCCCCGTGAGGTTTTGCTCTGTCAACTATCTTTCTCCTATATTTTCAATATGCTTTTGCTTTATTTTTCCCCAACAAAACCAAAAACGTTTATTTTTAATAAACAACAGATACCTGACAAAGCTAATTGGTAGAAAAATGGGAGAAAATACACAAGTAATACTAGGAACAAAAATTGTAAACATAACTACAATAGACATTTTTAAAATCACAGAATACAGTGGACCAAAGCATGAACTCCTTTATGCAAATAAATGTTAATAATTTTCTAGGAAAATCTATTCATTCGTGTTTCTGATCATTCAGGTCTCTGTGATCTTGAAACTAAATTAAACTAAGCACTCTCTACCTCCTCTTCATGTTAACCTTATAAAAATGTAGTCTACATCCTCACTTCCTTCACACCTCAACTCTGGCCAATCTGATTCCTTCCCCTAGTGGGCAACTGAAATTCCTCGTGGTAAACTTACTGTATCGGTCAACTAGGGCTGCCGTGACAAAATACCACAAACTATTTGGCTTAAACAGCAGAAACCTATTATCTCAGAGTTCAGAGGCTAGAAATCCAAGATCACGGTGCCAGCTATGTTGGCTCCTTCTGAGAGCTGAACAGCACATGGTTTCTATGACCGTATGTGAACTTGAACTTCCTATAGGCACAAGTTTGGAATGTAAAAGACCTGGAAGTACACGAGTCCAAGGAACTCGACCTTAAGGTAGTTTTGTTCTTCCATCAACAACCCTTGATTCGAAAGAAAAGAAAATAAAAAGGAATGTTTTTACCCTCCAACCAAGAAAAGACATGGGAGGAATTTCACATGTGGGAACCTTCTATAAAATAAACCGTGTCCTGTGAGGCCTTCCAGGTTAACCCCTGTACACAGCCAACCCTCCTCCTTCCCCCACCCCACTCGATGTTTTCCTCACTTCCTTGTGTCATCCTTTGCACAGTCAGGGCCCCAGAGTATTAATCCTTTTGAAGGGCTGCTCATCCACCCACCTGTGACTTCTTAATTTCTCAGCTCATTCTTCCGTGCAACAAAGAAAGTTCAAGACAGAAATAGATCCCGGCACACACTTGTTTTGATGTTTTATCAACCTGAGATAAGATCTGCCAGTTCCCTGAATAAAGTAGATCTCAGGGTATCTCTAATCAAGGTTGGACAGTTTTCTTTCTCTCCAAAGGACTACATGGTTGTGTCATTTAACTGTTTTCTTTGAAGTGGGTTTGAAGACTTCTGGTCACACCCATTCAGGAAAAAAAAAGACCTCAATTTCTAAACCACATGTAAATGATTATGGGATTCTCTATACCTTGTAACTAGTAGAAAACAGTTTCTTCCAAATTGTACCAAGTGTCAAATGGGACACAAGAAACAGATGGTTCCTTTTACATCAAGATCATCACTTTGGATGGGGGAGCAACTGTAAAGTCAAGCTGTTCTCTTTGTTTCGGATCAGAACTTAATTTAAGACATTTTCTAATGTTTAATGATCTTTCTTGTTTGTTAGTCTTGGTTCCCAATTAGACTGCAGGTTATTTGGCTGCAGAGGCTGTGTTTTGTTTTTAATTCCGTGCTAGGCACAGAAAGCCTATGCATTGCCCTGTAACAGCAGAGATTATCTGGTGCTTTCCAAGAGCATTTTTCATGTGAAGCTCATCACAATACTCATTGCTCTTTTGAGGGCCTTTTCGGGTACCTTTTTGCATATAAACAGGCTTAACCCCCTATAGGCAAGGGTTTAAAATGAACAATGTGGGACTTAGATGCACACTGTCTCAGTGAACTCAGCTTTTCCCAAAAACAAGTCCCGAGTGGATTTTAGAATCCGCAGCAGAATTCGAAAGTTTCCAACTTCTCTGGGCTTCCCCCCCACCTTTTGTGTGTGTGTGTGTGTATATAATAAGAGAATTCTCTTTGACTACCAGCCTGTTTATTAAATGCTACTCTCTCTTTCAAATCACCTGAGTGGCTGCCATGACATGGGTTTCTCCATGGCGTGCATATGATTATTTTCAGTAGAACCAGATAGAAACAAAAATATTGTCAAGCAAGAGTAAATTGAATGAGCTTCTACTTTAATGTTTAAATAATGTAGGGTCATTGCTAGGCAGACATAACATTTCATAAATACAGTCAGAGGATGGTTTATTTAATGATGCAAGTTGTTTAGCTGGCATAAGCAGAATTATCCAGGATGGTTTCTGTCAGAGTACTCAGATTCTTGCATGACTGGCAATTTGCCTGTGACATTGGAGCCAAGTACAGAAAAGAAATCCATGTTAGACACAGTCCCCAGAAGACACTTTATGAAAATTAACAAACTGAAATAGTGAACTCATCTTAACTGTGACACTCTTAAGAAAGTCTCTAGATGGCTAAGCAGAGGGTCAGCTGTACACACGAATTGTCACATTTCATATGCCACCCATCCTCTTGCCAGCACACTCTTCATTACCAGAGTGATGTGGTTGGGTTCCACCATGCCAGGCATACCCAACCCTGGCCCAGGGCATGGTGCATAATGTAGTACATGTTTATAGTTCTGTAAAAATCCACATCACAATTTTTCATGCGATCTGTTCTCAGATTGCTTTTTAAGAATCTTGGTGCTCTTGTGTCTGATGTTACCAAATCTACAAAGAGGCTTTATCTTTTCTATAGTACGTTCTTCTTTAAATGTATGATATAGTTTGTTGGGGAAAAAAAAGTGCTTATAAGGCCTTTGCTTCTGTCTTTCCCCACCTAGTCTCATATTTTCTTGAAAATGTTGAAGTATTGTCCTCTATTTGGATTTACTTTGGTTTTGAGTGCTAGCTGTTTTACAGTAAGTCAGATTTGCTTAGAAGGTCCCCAGCTGGGATAAAAGAACAAACGATATCTTTGTGAGACAATCTAGGTAAATTCCATAGAGATTTAAAATAACTACTTAATATGTGCTTGATAAAAATTTCATTATGGAGAATTAGTACAGTGGTGGTTTCCCACACATGAATGTTAGAAACAAGAGATGGAAAGTTTTAGGTAGAATTGATGTCCAAATTAGGAGACATTCCCAAAGCAAAAACATTATCACTCATGATCATGATTCAGGGATTTGTCTAAAAACTACTCTTCCAGTACCTTCCTGGAAGAAAGTACAGTCTCTGAGAAGACTAATGCAGATGGCATGTTAGCTGGAACTCTCCGAGAGCTGCTTGCCCTGTGCTTGTTGTTTTTGCCTCTGTGGGAGACACCACACACACACACACACACACACACACACACACACACACACACCCATGAACAAAGGCTACACATGTTCAGTGTTTCAGGAGGCAGTGTAATACCCGTCTCCTCTCTCCTGGACCTCACCATGACATTAGTGGAGTCTGAATAAGTCCCTGTGTGCTAAGAGAGAGTCTAGTCAGTAGGTATGTGAGTGCTTGTTAGAATCTCAATATTATGCTGGCATCATTCTGCCACATTGCCTAAAGCTTTGCGTGTGTCATGGAGGAGCTCCAATGAAGTGCATATGTGACTGCTGGCCGAATCCATCCAGAGGCCTCAGCTTGTTTTACATCTGTTTTCTGTGTTACTCTGACTTTTTAGATTGGGTTTGTGCCCAGCAGGGCTTGAAAACTGTTCTTGCCCACATTTCATAACTCTGTGTATATAGGTGATATTATTAGGGCACATTGTCCTGTGCCAGGAGGCAGAAAAAGTAATGTTTAGAAGAAAACTTATGACTCTAGTAAAAAAGCTAGACATCTTCCAAACGTTTTTATTGCCCATTTTGTTTCCTGAATATTTGTTTTAAGCATTGTTATTCTGTAAAAAAGTTTTGGCAGCTCTAGGACAAAAGAAATACTGGAAGATGTGTGCGATGTTCTTGGTACCTTAAGGAGAGTGCGATAGTATCTTTGGGATTGCGATCTATCTG